AGCAGCAGAGAGAAGAGACTTCAAACTTGCTATAACCTAGAGAGTCCATATTGTTTCATCAGTAGTTTGAGAGAAGAAACAAGAGTCAAGAGCTGGAGAAATCAAGAGACTTGCCTAGCATTCTGCAGCAGGTCTCTGAGCGTGGGCATTAAGTCCCACGTCTTTCTTTTTTTAAGAATTGTGTTATTTTTTAAGATTTTATTTTTTTTCCTTTTTCTCCCCAAAGCCCCCCGGTACATAGTTGTATAGTCTTAGTTGTGGGTCCTTCTAGTTGTGGCATATGGGATGCCGCCTCAGCATGGCCTGATGAGACGTGCCATGTCCACACCTGGGATCTGAACTGGCGAAACCCTGGGCCACCGCACGCAAACTTAACCACTCAGCCACGGGGCTGGTCCCTAAGTCCCAATTCTTAATCCTTCATCGTCACTGCACGGACCGACTGGAGGCCCATCACGAGTCATGACCGCAGCTGCGTGGTCCCGTTTTCAGGGTGTTGATTTAAGATCTCACTGCCTTCTCCAGCAACTTCCTGAATCTCTAAAATTCCTTCTACAATTCTGACACCAATTCCCATGTGTGGGTTTTTTCCCCACACCAACAAATTCCTCCTCCGTTCAGATGCCAACTGCAAGTTCCAGGTTGTTACCTGTGCTTCTCACAAACTGGCTATAGATGGGGTGTTCCAAAGACCCCCTCCTTGGGTTTGATTAATTTGTTAGAGCGGCTCACAGAACTCAGAGGAGCATTTTACTTACTAGATTACTGGTTTATTAGAAAAGGATGTGACTCATGAACAGCCAGATGGAAGAGATGCGTATGGCACGGTGTGGGGAAAGGCGTGGAGCTTCCCTGCCCTCTTGGAAAGCACCACTCTCCCCAGATCTCCATGTGTTTACCAACCCAGAAGCTCTCCGAATCCCGTCCTTTTGGGTTTTCCTGGTGGCCTCATCACATAGACCTGATTGATTAAATCATTGGCCATTGGTGATTGAACTCAATCTGCAGCCCCTCTCCCCGCCCCAGGAGATCGGGGGGAGGGGAGTGGGGGGTGGAGGGTGGGGACTGAAGGTTCCAACCCACTAACCACAGAGTTGGTTCCCCTGGCAACCAGCCTCCAACTTTAGGTGACCTGGGGCCTTTCTAAATCACCTTATTAACATAACAGAGACATCTTAATGGCTCTCTTCTCTTAGGCAATTCCAAGGGTTTTAGGAGATCTGTGCTAGGGATGAGGATGAAGACAAAAATATATATTTCTTATTATAAATTACAACATCACACCTTCCAAGAAGACTAACACAAGAATTCATCTAGGGGCCGGCCCAGTGGCGCAGTGGTTAAGTGCGCACATTCCGCTTCTTGGCGGCCCGGGGTTCACCAGTTCGGATCCCAGGTGCGGTCATGGCACCCTTTGGCACGCCATGCTGTGGTAGGCGTCCCACATATAAAATGGAGGGAGATGGGCTCAGGGCCAGGCTTCCTCAGTAAAAAAAAGAGGAGGACTGGCAGTAGTTAGCTCAGGGCTAATCTTTCTCAAAAAAAGAAAAAAGAAAAAAAGAATTCATCTAAAACACTGAGAAGTTAGCCATTATTTGGTTTGGCTTCTCACTCAATGTGATGGACCTTCTTTGGTATCCAAGACATCTGATGACTGAATCTTGCTTAGATTCAGCCCAACTCTGTCTCCTGAATTATTCACCAACTAGTTCTTGTTCTCTGAAAGAGTAGTTTGTGCCATTAAATAAAACCCAGGTTTTAATCCTAGCTCCTCATCTTTGACCTTAGCAAGTCACTTATCACTCTGACTCTTAGTTTCTTCATCTGCAAAATGTGAAGTCCTGCTTATGTCATGGGGATGTTGGAAAGGGGAAAAAGAGGGTGACCATTTATTAAATATCTACCACGTTCCAGGTGCTGTGATGAGAACTTTATACACACTGAATTATTAATACTCCCAATCTTGTCACCCATACATATCCCTGGTGCACCGACGTGTACTCTAACAGGAAGACTCAGCTTTGGCCAACACCTGACAGCTTCCTTTTGAGATGTTTTTCTGCTGAGCTGGGCTTCCTTCTCAGAGAAATCGCAACTGCAAACCAGCTCCCACCCGACCCGGGAGCAGGGCCTGCACAGAGGGACTCGGAGGGGACCTGAAGCTGCCTCTGCTGCTGTTTTTTTTTTTTTTTTGAGGAAGATTAGCACTGAGCTAACACCTGCTGCCTAATCCTCCTCTTTTTGCTGAGGAAGACTGGCCCTGAGCTCACATCCGTGCCCATCTTCCTCTACTTTATATGTGGGACGCCTGCCACAGCGTGGCTTGCCAAGTGGTGCCATGTCCACACCCGGGATCCGAACCGGCGAACCCCGGGCCACCGGAGGGGAATGTGTGAACTTAACTGCTGCATCATCGGGCATGCCCCTGCCTCTGCTTCTTTTCCACACAGAAATACGGCCCCTGCATACCTTGCTAGGCACATTTGGTGCCGTGTGCAAAGGAGTTGGGAGGACTGGGCCCACACCAACTGTTCCTGGAAGTCTCCTCCCCTTTCCGGGGACCCTGATGACGCTTTTACTGAAACTGAAGCAGGCTCCCTCCTGGCGAGTTATATCAGACTCTCCACCAGCAGTAGTCGTCTCACAGAGTAAGCTACATTTGCGGCAAATAGGAGATCACGAGGAGGCATTTCCAGAGTCGTGGTGTCCCCGAACAAAGGGAAGCAGGGACTTTGCATTTCGGATGGGGATGAGTATTCAAAAGGGAGGGGTGGGTATTTGCTTGCACAGCCTCAGCTGGAAAACATGCTTCCACACACACTGCAGGTGATGGTAATAAGGCCTAAGCTCCTCCTGGAGAGATCTTAGCACTAAAAATAAGGCAAAGGTAGGGGCTGGCCCCATGGCTGAGTGGTTAAGTTCGCACGCTCCGCTTTGGTGGGTGGCCCAGGGTTTCACTGGTTCGAATCCTGGGCATGAACATGGCACTGCTCATCAAGCCACGCAGAGGTGGCATCCAACATGCCTCAGCTAGAAGGATCAGCAACTAAAAGTACACGCTATGTACTAGGGGGCTTTGGGAGAAAAAGGAAAAATAAGATCTCTTAAAAAAATAAAATAAGGCAAAGGTCACAGGTGGAGCTCTTGTGAGGCCTGGTCTCCTTCAGGGCGGTTGAGTGATGGCATCTCTTTAACATAACAAAAGGAAAAGGACAATTTGGAAAAACAGTTAAAATAGCCAAACTCACCCTTATGTTCCTCCAGGTAACGAGCTGATGACAATGCCACGACCCCTTGCCCTTTAAAAGTTCCCCATTTCCCTGTCTTTGGGGAAAAGTTGTTTTAGAGCACAGCTCCCCTTCTCAATTCCATGATCGACAAATAAAGTTTCTGCTCCACTATTCTGAATCCTGTCTCATTCTATTGGAGTAAGTGACTCTAGGCAAAAGGCCCCACTTCTGGGTCACTGGTCCCTTAGGGCTTGCTAATAGTCCTATTAGGCTGGTGATATTATTCCCATTTTACTGAGGAGAAAGTTGAGGCTGACAAACACTGAATACCTTGACTACTCCTACGTAGGTAGTAACAGAATGAGGATTTGAAGGCAGTTCTGCTGGGCAGCCAACTCCTGGGCTCACCCATTTTAGTATTTGGCCTGCTATGAGCTGGTACTTAAGAAAGCACTTAGTAATTCAGTTATTCAAATATTTCAAATGTTGTCCTTTAGCCTTCTTTTCTCCAGGTGAAACATTCTCAGTTTTTCTGATTACTCTTTGATGAGCTCATTTCCCTCTCCTATGTCATTAGATTCACTGTCCTCATGGAGTAGCATATTTTTAACCTTCTGCTTAAAATGTAGTAACCAGAACAGGAAGTCATGTCCTAATGATGAGGATTTTTAGGCTGGTTAATTTTAAAACTGCACATGAGAAGCAGGCTCTGAGGAGCAGAGTTTGCTTGCCCTTTGAGAGACATTTGCATTTGTGAAGGAAATCTCCATGCCTCCCCCTCTGCACCAGGAGGAAGCGGGGATGGCCTTATCTCTGGAAACTCTTAATGGGGAAGGCAAGGACTTAAGTTGGTTACTGTCTGGCAACCTCGTGTAACTGATTTAGGGTGGTGGCTTCTGGCCTTTACTTAATCCGATTTGATTCTTATCTAAAAGTTGTGGGACCACCCAATGGCCAGACCCCACCTGCACCGATACCATTTTAACTTTTTTACATGTTCTTTCCTTTGTCTTGTAAAGAGATGGCTCACATACCTATGCCTTAAATTTAGCCTTACTCTCCACCCATGTTTGCAGCAGTAGCAGGGGCAGCAGCAGCTCTGACTGCCTGTGGGCCCTGTCCCCACACAGCAGCCCTGCCTGCCCATGGGTCCTGTCCCCATGCCGGCAGCAGCAGCTCTGACTGCCCATGGGTCCTGTCCCCATGCTATTCCACACTATTCTCTAAATAAAAGAGCATTACTGCCAGATCTTGAGAGTCCAAGAAATCTTTCTTTCGACTCCTCGGCTCACCGACCCCGCATCACTAACGTGGCTAGGGTTGGAAAACCCATACTCCACAATGACTCTGCAGCTGGTCAGATGTATTTCTAAGTTTCTGAATACAGACAAGCTAAAGCGTTGTTGTCATCCTACCCACTGGCTTCAAGGCTCAGACAGGCTGGAACTGGTGATGTCACCCAGGGAAGTCCCTAAATCATTCTCTATGTCTAATGCTTTGTTGTTTTTTTTTTTGAGGAAGATTAGCCCTGAGCTAACATCTGCTGCCAATCCTCCTCTTTTTGCTGAGGAAGACGGGCCCTGAGCTAACATCCGTGCCCATCTTCCTCCACTTTATATGTGGGACGCCTACCACAGCATGGTGTGTCAAGCGGTGCCACGTCCACACCCAGGATCCAAACCAGCGAACCCCAGGCTGCATTTAGGAGACTACAAATTTGCCTAAGGACTCAGTGAAAGACTTGAGAGTATTTTGCTTTAAAGTCACACATTTCATTACGAATTTCTTTTATTTTGTATCCAATAGAAAAGAAAGTTTGGATCTATTTACAAGTGCTGTATATTTACATATATTATACACAGTTAATGAATGTAAAGAAAATGGGCAGAGAAACACAGTATATATGGAAGAATATGCCACTGTACGTGGCTTTTTATCATGGTCCTTAGTGTCACTGAATCTTTACCGTAGTAATAAATACAGCTCTATATTTACACATCTTATAAAACATCTCATAAATGTATTGTTTTCAATTCCAACTTAAAACATCTGATCAAAATAAACATGCTTATATAAAAATAAATCTACCTAACGGTCTCTCGGTTTGGATGCATTAAAGCCACTGTAGTATATCAGAAGTTAGAATTCATCCTTCGACCTTCAGCATTTAATAATTTCACTTCTTAAAATGCCTCACACATGTATTAAATACGAAATGAGCAGAGAAGTCCTGTTCCTGACACCAAGTAGGTCGACACAGCTGACACCAGGCTAACTAAGCAGGGCCTCATGGTACCAAGCCTCTGCTGAGTCCAAAGTGTCTTCAGACGTGGCTGCTGCTAGAGACACACGTGAGAAGCTGTCAGTGATTTAATTCATGTGCACTTGATCATTGCCTTAAGATGCACATCAGCTTGAATCAACTAATAAGAACTCTTGCAAAAAATGTGCACCCAGAAAAAAAAATCCCAAGTTGCCTACCCTCTTTTCTAGGTCCATCCACTGCCGGCAATGGACTTTTCTTCTGAGCTCTGGGCACCAGGGAGTTAAAAATGAATTAGATACGGCAAAGCTCGCCTGTACGTGACTGCCATCATGGCAATTTAAGAATTTAAGTTCACATTCCTTTCCACATAGTTGTAAGCAGTTTTATTCTACTGAGAGTAGAAACTTCTAGTGCTGACACGTAAAACCTGGCATTTCTAAACATGAACTATGAACAAATTAATAATACCTTATGTTATCCACTCACTGGGCTGGGGCGGGGAGGCTTGGCGGCCTGGAAGGAGCCTTTCTGAGGAAAGCAGGGGAGGACGTCCCCGTGGTCGGTACACTGAGATCCCACTGCCACAGCCTCCACTCAGTAACGCAGGCCACTTGGAACTTTCGTTTTCCTAATACCTCCAAACATCTGTTAAGGGGGTTTTTGGTTTAAAACCCCTTTGGTAAACAAGTGGTCCCCCGCCCCAAATCATTAGATTGGTGAGTTTCAAAAGAATTCAAATGAAATTATGGAGAATCGTTCTTGAACATTTCAATCTGTTTTTTGAGAATCTAGCTTACCTAAATAGTGTGACTGATCTCTCTCTTAGCTGAACAAGTTATCCAGGCAGCATTTAGACTTATTTTTCATTCTCCAGTATCAATAGGCTTTCAGCTTTTTCTCACTGAGATTAAAAAAAAAATCAAGTTTCAACTCAGCTCTTTTCAGTTACTGTTCAGATGTACTCAATCTCACATTTTTGGATTTTCGATTTTAGGAAACTTTTCTTTCACGAATTAATCAGAGACATGGGACAAATGCCACAGACGAGAGGTGACGGCTCTCAGGCCCTGGGTGAGCTGGTGGCACTGTGGAGTCGGCGGGCAGGTCATAGGCCATGCGGGCACGGGGGAAGGTCACCAAGGCCTGGGTGGAGTTGCAGGACTGCTTCTCGGCATCATCAGAGTTCACAGACATCAGGCTGGTGTGTTTCGATCTTGTCCAAAGGCGGGTTTGCTCTCCCAGGCTGCCCAGATCCTCCTTAAAGTGGGGGTTGAAGAGGATGTACAGAAGGGGATTGAGACAGGCAGGAAGCGGGACGATCACCAGAAGGATAAACCTAGTTACCTCAGGGCTGACAAAGGTGAGGTTCAGTAAAGAGGAGAAGGACAAGAAAGCCACGGGGCAGTGGAGGACGCAGTTGGTGAAGAGCATCAGCGCCACGTGCCTCACCATGCAGCAGTCCCAGGCGCTGCCCCGGCCGCCCCTCTCCAGGCCGCAGTAGAGCCTGGTGTAGGCCACAGTCATCACAAGGAAGCAGAAGGAGTTGAGCAAGACGAGGGCCACCACGTAGCCCGTGGTGCCAGGCTCGCCGAAGGGCAGCGGGAGGCAGAGCGGGGACGTGCTGTACTCACGGCCGCCCAGCAGTGGGGCCGAGGCCAGGGCCAGCGCCAGCATGGCACACAGCAGGATGGCGGCTTTCAGGCTGGAAAAAGGGGCTTTCCTTTCAAACTTTGCAGAGCATTTCACAGAGAACCCACGCTCCAGGGCTGCCAGAGTCAGCAGGAAAACAGATGATTCCGAAGCAAAAACGGACAAAAACCCGACGACCTGGCAACCGACGCCCTGCTCCCACTGTGCACCATGCCGCGCAAAGCTGCCAAAGGTGACGGCATCCACGCCAGCCAGCACCGCGCTGCAGGCCCCCGTGAGCATGTTCACCATGGCTGTTAACCCAATGAGCAGTTTTACGGAAGAGAGGTGCAGCGGGGCTCCGAATACTGTCGAGGTCACCAAGGCATTGCAAGTAAGGGCCAGAACCGCGATGGTCCACACGCCAATTCGGATCAGCCAGTTGCCCAACAGGTATTCGCAGAGTTTGAAGGGGCCTGGAAGTCCAAGGAGGAAGAAGACTGGGTATCAAATTGGGGTCGACAACTTTTGCCAAATTACCTTTCTGTTTCCCTCATTAGGGCACCAAGAGGAGGAGGCCGATGACAGCCACGGTTCACAGTCCCTTTGTGGCTCACCCTGCCGCCTTCAACCACCGTGCTCGATGCCTCAGGTCCTCAAGGCACTGACCGGGTGAGCGCACCAGGTGGACACAGAGAAATGGAGATGGGAGCTTAAACCATTTGAGTAAGGTCCCCCAAATACAGCAGTGTTGGGCCACGTAAAAAGCCAGATCTCCCTGGCTTTGCATTATATTTTTTCAGGATGCTTCAAAAAGGTCCTGTAAGCAGAGAAGGGGAATCCCAGGGAAATACTCCATGATGCTAGGAGAGGAAGGAAGGGTAGAATGAAGGTGCAACTCATGCAAGTCTCATCTTAGGGATAGACTGACATTTGATGTTTGGGAGCTTGGGATAACCTAATTGTTGAAAATAATATATCAACCCTTCTCAGTGGTCTTTCTTTTAACTGGCCCATCCTGTTTCCGGGAATGGGACAGGCAATTAAGTGAAGTCAATATATAGACATTTTTTTACTTATCTGTATAAACTATTATTGGCTTTAACCAAGTAGCTATTTAGGGAAGATATAAAAGAAATCACTTTCAAAAATCAGTGATTACACGAAGCAAGACTGTTCCATGCTAGTTCAGGCTAAATTGCTAATATCATTTTAAAGATTACAGATGCTTCTAATGACGTGATTGGTTCTTTACTTTCTGTTAATCTGAATCAAAAGTCTCCCACAAAAACCCTATTTATGAATGGCGGCCAATGCCAGGGAACGAACCCCCCGGGGAGGGTACTGAGGAGCAGAAAAGGCGGCACAGATTTGGCTGTGAAGTGCGGCCTCGGCGTGGATGGCGATGCTGCTGCTGAGGTGGTCCTGGCGCCTCCTCACCTGGGGAAGGTGAGCACTGTACGGAGTGAAGGGCCTGCAGGTCTTCCTCAAGGTCAAGCAGGAAGTCCTCGAGATCGCGCTCATCTGCAGGAATGAGAGGGCCTGGAGTGATGAGTCCTGTTTCTCTTTTCGGGGGACCGAGTCCCAGGGAGGAGAGTCCTGGGCTGCCTGGAGATAGGAAGTGTCTCAACCGGAAAGGAAGGTCAGACGCCCCACCTTCCCCTGGGCTCTGGCTTTCTCGAAAGTCTGCTAGGGAGCAGCCTCTGGTTGCTCTGCTCAAGCTGCTCTGGGACATAGGATTCCAGCAGAACCAGGGAAAGGGGAGGAGCCAAATCCCGGCCACAACATCTAAGCGCCCTCGTTCTGTTCTTGCTCCCCGGAGCTCCCCATGGCCCCAGACTGCACTGACCTGAATCAGGGGGAGGCTGTGGGCTCTTCGTTCAAGGGAAGAGCCTCTTCGTCCAACTTTCTAACACGTGGACAGCCACAGAGCACAGGCTCCGGGCTGTGTTCTCTGAACACAAGAGGGAGAACCGGGCAGAGCAAGTTTCAGTCTTTTCTGGAGAATTCTGCTTAAAGAGGACAAATCAAGCAGCTGCTTGGTGCTTGGGTGTCCAGGAAATAGGCTTTCTGTGATCTGACAGACTGAGACATTGATTTAATTGGTGTGGGGCTTGGGCATCAGTATTTTTAAAAAGCTGTGATTCCAATACGTGGCCCAGGGTTGGAAATCACTGCTCTTGAAACAAACCCCATGAAGAACCTCGTCCCTCTTGTTCACTGAGTCCCTGCTGGGCCTAGAACCATGCCCGACACAGGGCAGGACTTGAATTAGCGGTTTATTTGTTTTTTAAAAATGAATAATAGAGTAGAAATGAGGGTGGATGAGGCAAGAAGAACAAAAACTATAGCAAGACCCATAGCGAGACACATGCTGTGGCCAGAAACCGACAGCCGAGACCTCAGCCCTTCAAACCGACCGTGCAGGAGAAGCACCACGTGACACACACACAGACTGGAGTCAACAAACGGCGGAGGCCCAAGGAAGAAATGCCAGTCTGTTCAGACTCCGTGCGGACTTGCAAGGTTGGCAGGAGAAGACGTGGGGGCTGCCCGGTATGCCCCCTCCCTTCAGGTGTGTCTGAGTCAGGTCCCACTTCAGGGAAAGCTAAGGGCTTCACAGACATTATCTCATTTCACCTTCCTGACAGACGCCCCTGTGGGGCCGGGAGGGGAGCATGTTTTACAATTAGCTGGATAAGAAGCTGGATTCTGCTGAAATACACAGGCATCCGGCATGCTTCCATCCTCCGCTGGCCCCAGGACACAAGAGTATAAACAGATTTTATCTTCTGGAGAAAAAGCTCTGAAGGTGTTTGAAAAGGTATCCATAGAGATGAGGCCCTTTTAAAAGTCCATGGACATATTCATACCAATATTAATAATTACCCATGAGGACAATGTATGCTAACAGGAATGTAATTATAAATATAAGTATTAAGAATTCACTTACAGAAAAGATGAAGTTTTAGAATGAATCTTGATGGAGATTTCTCTTTCTCTAGAGTCTTTAAACAGTGGGGTTGACTCTCAGCTTCCTGGGGAGGTTACAGTGACTAGTCTTTTTTTTGAGGAAGATTAGCCCTGAGCTAACCACTGCCAATCCTCCTCTTTTTGCTGAGGAAGACTGGCCCTGAGTTAACATCCATGCCCATCTTCCTCTACTTTATAAGTAGGACACCTACCACAGCATGGCTTTTGCCAAGCAGTGACAGATCTGCACCTGGGATCCGGACCGGTGAACCCCAGGCCACGGAGAAGCAGAACATGTGTACTTAACTGCTGTGCCACCGCTGGGCCGGCCCCACAGCGACTAGTCTTGATACCAGCTCAGTACAAGGTTGACACAAGGGAAGCCATACTGTAACTGTGAATGACCTCTGATTAACTAGCCCAGACATGCTCTGTAGATTTTGTGGCCCCTCCCAGCAGCTTTAAGATGATAACTTTGTTCTTTTGAGTTCCTTAGGAATGTGATGACTCCCAGCAGAGAGCCTATGCTGATAGCCATTGTGAATGACAACTGAAAGATCAGGGTATGGGCATTGCTGCATTCTCTGATGCATATCCAGTAAAACAAAGGACTGTCAGGAACAGGGACCAGATGTCTGCCCCACCCAGAGACCAGCCACCTCTCCCACTGGGAGACCAGCGCCATATATAACTGGCCTGTGGTGTTTGTTCTGGGAGATGGTTCTTTTGGACGTGAGGTGGCCATCTTCCGTCTTGCTAGCAAGCTGTAATAAAGTCCTTTCTCTCCCATCCCCTTCCCTCCTGACTGTGGCAGGTCTTGCAGCGAGCAGACGACCCCCCTCGGGCTGTAACAGTCTGGAGTTGAGATGATCTGTTTGATGACTTTTCAAGACCCTTCCAGAGACAATTTCATCCTGCGACAGAGCAGGTCTTACCTTGGACTTGAAGCATCCCCTCATCTTTCCTGTGAAGGTCGCCTGTGCTGCTGTTGTCACCTTCATTCCTCTGACTGGAAATTTTATAGACGCTCTCACACACACCAAATGCACAGCACTGGTAAGCATAAGGCATTTCTATAACCCTTCGAATGAGCAAAACCAGACAAAACACACTTGGAGAGAGGTTGTTAAACACAGTGTCCATCTTCTCACTCAATAATTCTGCCTGTGAATTTTAGCCTTAATAAATAACCTAAAATATTAACTATATGCATAAAGATGTTCATTACAGTGCTATTTATAACAACAATGGAGTTATTAAAAATTATTGCTATGGAATGTTGATAATTGCTGAGGCTGAAGATGGGTATGACAAATAAAAATGGCAAGTAATAGGATATATTGGAGTATATGAGGAAGCCATTTTGTGTAAACCTAATTCGGCCTGACCTTGTCTTTCCAAAAGGGCCTGACGGAGGCCGTTGAGCGTGCATTGTATATCTGCTTTAGAGATTCCCTATGGCAAGAGCAAAGGCCTTTGAGATAAAGGTGCAACTTCTCTCGCCCTCCCAAGGTTGGCATCTCCTTAAAGATTAAGCATCTTTCTTTAGGCTGGGAACTGATTGCAGCGCTCATCTGTGACCGCCCAGCCCGAGGCAACACACCTGCCACCCTGCGGTGTTCACTGAGACAGCAGACCTATCTGCCGTTTCCATCAATCGCTGTGCTGACAGAGCAGCCTCGTGACTATTGTAAAAGGGACAGTTCAATCATTTGTGAAACATACTCTTTGAGGGTATATAACCACACTGTATACCCCCACTTCTTTGGAGTGCTCTGTTCCTTTGTGGAAAGACTCTCCTGGATTATAATCCTAAAATTTAAGCTCAGAATAAACTCACGAAAATTTTCATTTATAGATTGGTTATGGATTATTTTCATTGACCGGTATATATTATTTTCCCTACTTTTGTGTTTGAAAATTTTCATAATAAGAAGCTTAAAAAATGACTGCTAGGGGGCCGGCCCAGTGGCGCAGTGGTTAAAGTTTGCACATTCCACTTCGGCAGCCTGGGGTTCACCAGTTCAGATCCCAGGTGTGGACATGGCACTGCTTGGTAAGCGATGCTGTGGTAGGTGTCCCATATATAAAAGGTAGAGGAAGATGGGCACGGATGTTAGCTCAGGGCCAGTCTTCCTCAGCAAAAAGAGGAGGATTGGCAGCAGATGTTAGCTCAGGGCCAATCTTCCTCAAAAAAAGACTGCTAGGAAAATTGCAGCACCAATAAAAAGTGCTTATGGTATGATATAATGTTGAGTGATGAAAACATGATATGTTTGTATACATATTGTGATTCTAACAAAAGCACATTAGAAACACAGTCTGGAAGGAAATAACATAAAAAGTTGCTTACGGGATATTTTTAGATTTTTTTTCTCCTTTCTACTTTCCAAACTCTCTTGGGATTATGGTTTTAATAGTAGTAAAAAGTACTGTGGTTTAAAAAATAATGTGTGTATATATATAATCTTTCAAGGAACTTCTTGATGGATAATAAGCATAACAGGTTTTAAAGAGCATTACTTCCTCAAATAAATATCAATTTAGTACATTTTATTAGAACCAACACACAAGCTAGATGAATTTAAAAATGTAAACAGGAGCCCAATAATGTTATAATGTTATTTAATTACATGTCCTAGTCTATATCCTATGGATCAATGGTCTTCAAACTCTTTCCATGAACCGTCTGATTCTGGGAGGCGTCTTTGAGAAAGAACGGAAATGTGGTCAGCAGGACACACTCCCCCCTTCGGACGGGCCCTAACAATGCCTTGGGGGTCGGGCACTGGAGGGCATGAGATGCAATTCAAAGGAGTCCCGTGACCTCATAAATTTTGAAAACTACTATAACACGCCTATTATTTCACATGACCACAAATGTATCTTATTAGTTTTAAAGACAGACTCACTTGAGTTCTGGAAAGTTTTCAGATGATATCAAGCTCTGCAGGCCATGATTTCCTGTTAATTTTAAGTGAGTTAAACCACGTAACCCGGTTACAGGAAAGGACGACAGGCGGTTGGACGACAGGTCACTGCAAAACATGGAACAACAGTGCTTTCAGTCTGGGCTGCACTAAACGCTCACGTTAGAAAAGCAAACCAAAGAGTATTAAAACACTCGGTGAAGCATCTAAGCAGGGTCCTGACTCTTACTGCTAAAAGTAACCATTTTGGTTTTAGCTCCTGAGAACTTTTCTATTTACAATCAGAATTGCAAGGGGAAAATTGTTTAATTGCATCTAAATTTTAATTTCTATGTTCAGCTTAATTTTGCCAGGTGGGGACATCTAAAGCCATGTGGAAGGTGTTACATCTAATTTGAACAATGGTGCTGACTGGATTCGGTCAGGGTGAGGGAAGACACCACTGGGGTTTATTCGTTCCTTCTCCCCTTGACTTGTGTCTGACCAATCCCTTCTTTTTCTGTCAGACAAGGGAGATGGGGTGAGGAAGGAGCAAGAGGTGGAAAAAAGAGACAAGAAGGTTTACCGTTAGTCAAGAGGGTGAACCGTAAAATGAAAGCCCTTTAGCTCCAACTGACATCTTATTCCATTCCTCATGACTGCTCAGCAAAATGGGAGGTTTCGCCTCAATAACCAGAACCTGCTGTCACCCAGACCTTCACTGTCCAGGTGAGGGCCCTCATGGCCTTGGGGGCGGCTCCCTCTGCACGACAGCTCTGCAGTGGAGGACACTGAGGACTGGGCAGTCTGTGCACTGCAGGTTTCCTCTTCAAAACCAGCATTTTTATTAATTGGAAGCTCCGCACTTACTAAATGACATGCCATAGGGCAGCACTGAGATACTCACAGTTTTCTCAGAGAAGGCAACGTAGAAAATGCACTGGGGTGAATAATGGCAATTTTGTTCCAAGCTAAATTTCTAAAACAAAAAAAAGGCAAATGAGAGAATTATATAAAAAAAGAAGACTGTGTGAAGTTTTACCATATACATGCATTTTTCTACCAAAATTTAATTTCCATTCAGGACAGGAACAATTAGCTTATCAAGTCATCCTTCAGATAAAGATATTAGTAGATAAAACGACTAAAGAGAAGACTTAAATCAACCTTGTTTAAGTCGATTGAGAAAAAACTATCCAGGCAGAAATTTTAGGTTTTACCCTCTTCTTGCTACAAGGTTGACTTTAACATGGTTGTAGAATTCCATCAGGGTGTTTCTAAGATGAGTCGGGGTGAAGGAAGTGGGAAGATTAAAGGACTCCTGAGACTCTTCCTCTGACAAGCAACTCAAGTGAAGTGAGAAAACATCCCTGGACGTGTGACAAAACTGAGCAAGACTCTGCATACATTGCCATGTGTGTCAGGCCCCAAGAGAAACACAGGGAAGCTTTCCAAAAAATTCCCAGTAAAGAAGATGGACATTTAAATTCTTAACTGGGAAATGAATAAAAAAGGGGTTAACATACGTTGGAAATAAAATCCTTTGATAACAAAGAAAATCTACAATTTATGGAGAAATAAAATTCACTCAACATACACACGTAATGAAATGTAGATAATTTAGCAGGAATAAAGAAAAGGAGCCATGAACTTAAAATTTGTATGTTTAGAATGCATAACTAATGAGGGTAACTAAGTCTAGACATTTGAATAAATTGAAAGTACTCACAGTTGACTTTTTTCTAGCCCAGAGAGGTGATTTATTCATGATTCTGGGCCCCCTGAGTCACTCTGGGTACAGGGTCGTTAAATTCTCATACATACACAGAATACTTGTATTCTCATTGGAAAGACTCCCTGACCTGGGGGAAAAGGAAGGCTTTTTATTTTGCCCCTTCATTGATCTCAGAGCAGAAGCAGGTTCCAGCTAACAAGGGGAAGAAACGGCATGCAGGGGTGGGAAAGCCACAACGGCAGTCGGCAGTCGGGAAGTTGCCAGAGGAGATGGTCTTTGAGCGCTCGTCAAACACGAGTCCAGGGAGGAGCGAGTCCTCCATCCGTCAGTCTCTGCAGCTTTAAGCAGGACGTGGTGCCCGGGAGCCGCACAGTCAGTGTCAGGAACTCCCCCGGTCCTGCCACAGGCTTTATAGCGCTTTGACTGGGGTTCAAGTAAGAGGGTGGTGCAGTCACAGGAGGGTCACTCCATTCCCTTTTGTGAGCCTGTGTGTGGGGGTCCCACGGCTGCCTCAGAGGAGCCTGGTCCACTCTTCTGCCCTGCACCTGGGGCTGACCTGCTGACCCCAGGGCTCCCGCTGTTCTCAGCCGGGTTCCCAGGGGAAGCTCCCCGGGGGTGCCGGGCGGGGAGAGGGGAGGAGAGGGCTTGAGCCCTTGCGGCCTGCTCCTTCTCTGTCCTGGAATCTCGTCTCTGGTGGCAGCTGCACACGTTCTCAACCGCAGCATCCCCTCTCCACGCCTCTGCTCCTCCTGGGTTTTAGAAACACGAGTTCCTCCCTCTGTCTGTTGAGGCCCAGTCGTGTCACTGATTTCTGAGCACTCATCCTTGCCTGCTCCCTGCCAGCACCCATGCACATCTTCCTTCATTTGAACCATCTGGGGTGAATTCTGTTCCCTGCCAGGACCCTCACCGATACACCCTAAAAGGATACACAGTTGTTCTAATAATGACAACAATAACGATGATACTGTTGCACATGTACTATGTGTCAGCTATAGTTATGAGTTTTTCACAAGGATTATCTCATAACCTCAACACAACGTAAGAGGAAATATCATCATTCGCCCCATTTTACTGTGAGGAATGAAGCACAGTGTAATCTCAGGAGCTAGTTCACACCCAAGCAGACAGACCTCAAAGTCCATGATCTTTTGCTCAGAACATGTTTGGAATTCTTTTGTCTTTTTAAATTTTTTTTTCACTTTATTTTTTGAGGAGGGTTAGCACTGAGCTAACATCTGCCACCAATCCTCCTCTTATTTGCTGAGGAAGACTGGCCCTGAGGTAACATCCGTGCCCATCTTCCTCTACTTTATACGTGGGACGCCTACCACAGCATAGTTGACAGGCGGTATGTTGGTCTGCACTGGGGATCCGAACCGGTGAACCCTGGGCCACCAAAGCGGAATGTGTGAACTTAACCACTGTGCCACTGGGTCGGCCCCCATGGAATTCTTAAGTAAACAATGAGAGACCACTGCACTAGATCCTGGTGACAAGAAGATGGAGAAGAAGAAGAAGATGGAGTGGTTTTCAGGGAAGGCATGTTCTACCTGATCGCAGTGCTGAGTGTCGAGTCCTGTGGCAGAGAATGTGCAAAGCGCATCACAGTGCAGTAGGCTCCAGACAGGAGATCTTGTTCTCATGGGATGGACAGGGGGCAAGTTAAGAGTGCGGAGGAATCAATGGGCAACAGGCCCAGAAGAAACAGCGGCCTGTGTGTCAGGGGCTAGGAATGTGGTGAGAGGTGACGCTGTACCAGGAGGTTGGAATCAGAGTTTGAAGGGCGGTGCTGGGAAGTTTGGTCTGGATCTTGAAGACAATAGGAGAATAACAGAAGATTCTGAAGCAGGGAAGTAACATGACTAGATTTCCACTTAAGAAAGATTCTCTTTGGAGAATGAGATGAATGGGTAGAGACGGATGGTGGAAGGACTGGTTAGGAGGAGGGTGGTGATGAGACAAATGGGTAGAGACGGATGGTGGAAGGACTGGTTAGGAGGAGGGTGGTGGCGTTGGGACGAATGGGTAGAGACGGATGGTGGAAGGACTGGTTAGGAAGAAGATGGTGGTGACCCAGGTGAGTGAGCCACAGGCCTGTGGTAGGGGAGTGGAGGGACTGGAGTTGGCAGAGTTTGGTGAGTGACTGGATGTGGGGTCTAAGGGGCAGGAGGAATTCGGGGGCTCAGACATGTGGCCTTCAGAGTCTGTGTCCATTCTTGTGATATCTCTAGAGGCCAGCCTTTTATTTCATAGTGTATTTATAATATGTATATATATATATTTCTATCTGCTGAGAACATTTAAGTTCTGCTCTCTTAGCAAATTTCAATTATACAACACAGTGCTATCAACTACATCAGCTTTTTCAAATAGAACTGACTTTGGAAACGGCCAGAACTCCAACCTGGTGACAAGGCAGGTAATGAAATAAGTAATGCATTTTTGTTTTAAATTTATTAAAAAGTAAAAGAAGTTGACAAGCTGATTTAAACCAGAGATAAGGAAAGGGCAGAACAATTAAATTCAGAACAAGAAGGCTTTCAAGGTAATTTTTGGGAGAAGATGCTTCTTAAAGGTAAATTTAAAGGTTTTGAGGTATTAATGGTATTATTTTACAGTATTAAAAACTTTAGGAAGATTTTTAACAAAATATAGCAGAGTTTGAGAATTATATATAGTCAAAATTTATCAAAATTACATTGCAATTCAGTTTCAAGATGGAAAAGTTTTAACTGTCACAAAAAAGAGCTATTACAAAGGTTTTTTTCCCTTCATTTATGGTTAATATATGGCGTTTTCAATCATAAAATGGAATTAAATATTTACAAATCTTAGTTGTCTGAGAAACAAGCATTTTCCAGGACAGTCACACTCAAACCTTACTGTGGTTGTTAAAATGCAGATCCCCAGGCCCCACCCCAGAGATTCTGGCTCAGGAGGCAGGTGGGGACCTGGAGTCTGCATTTTTACAGGTGGTTCACAGCTGCCCTGGCGATTGTTAAGCACTTTGAGACGCATGTCAAAAAACTGTTTAACCAGGAAGGAAAAATGGGCAGCAAGAACAGTGTGGTCACTGTTTGGCACGGAAATGAGCCCCGCCAGCTCCAGGCTGTGGCCAGAGCACACCTGGCCGGCTTCCTGCCTCTGTCGGTCGAAGTTCCCTCTCTGCTGACTGGGCAGACAGCAGGTTGCAAATTTACTACTTTAGAATTTATTCCTGGAAATTATCACAAGCAAATTATTTGCCTTTTATAGCAAATATATGCACAAAGGCCCAACAATACACGTATAGAGTGAAGAGAAAAGATGAGAGATGCAAGAGGGAGACAGTGCTGTGGGAGGTGCTGGCGGGCGGTACTCACAGCGACCGGAGGGCAGGCAGCTGCTGGAAAGTGTCCACTCTGATCTCACAGAGCCCGTTGCGTCGAAGGTCTCTGAAACGACAGAGCGCCCAAGACTGACTTCAAAGTCACTGGTTTCAAAGGTGAGTCTCCAGAGAACTTAACTGAGACGACGCCCTCAATCAGAGGGACACGCGAAGTGCAACCATCAAGTGACTGTTTCTAAGAATTTTGTTTTGTTTATAAAAGAATACTAGTGTGCACGCTTCAGTAAGTGTCGCCTCTCCTTCAAAGAGCTGGTTCCTCTGGGTGGATCTAAAGCTACATTCCAAATGCTGCCATCACTCAAGCCCGGTGAGGACGCCTCTGCCCGCTCTGCCTGTGAGCTTCTCCTGTGACTGAGGTCCTCAGGCGCCTCGAATCCTTACCTTCTAAAGACAGATTTGCTGCCTTTTCTCCCTTAATTGCCCAAAAGCATTCAAGAGAAACTAAGTGGGAAAGGACAGATGTTTAACACTGTTTTGATCAAAACTGAAGTCTGACTATCGAGCAGTAAGGCTGATGGTTTGTGGAGGAGGCAATCCTAAGAGAGGGATCAGGGCTGGCCCGGTGGCGCAGCAGTTAAGTGCACACGTTCCACTTCAGTGGCCCGGGGTTCACTGGTTCAGATCCCGGGTGTGGACGCGGCACCGCTTGGCAAGCCATGCTGTGGCAGGTGTCCCACATATAAAGTAGAGGAAGATGGGCACGGATGTTAGCTCAGGGCCAGTCTTCCTCAGCAAAAAGAGGAGGATTGGCAGTGGTTAGCACAGGGCTAATCTTCCTCAAAAAAAAAAGAGAGAGGAATCAACTCAAATATGACAAACGTGGCACCTCTTCTAAAGATGATTATTGTTAAGCAAACATACCAACCAGCTCAAGTCCCCCCATAGTCAAAAATAACACCACCCATTGGAGGTGTAAGCTTAGAAACTCCAAGGCTCCAACAATGCTGGTTTGTTATGACACCAAGTTAGAAAAAAAGCAAATATATACATACAGTAAATGCATTTATATAGTAAAGTAACACTGTCTCTGTCGCCCAGCCTTATGGCCATTCTATGCAGTCGCACCGTGTGTGTGAGAAGGGACAGGTCACGTCTCCCCAGGGAGCCCAGGGTGAGGACCATGGACCCTGGAAGCGCGAGCTCTGGCTCTTGGTCTTGGGTGGCTGAGACTCTCACAAACATACATTTTCTGAAGCTTTTGGCAGCCTGAGAAACTGGGCAAATCTTCCAGCAGGTTGTAAGATAGATCTCTGTAAAGCAGAAGGTACAAAAGGGAAAATCCGTTACAAGTTAATCATAAGGAAACAAGCCCGGCCCATGACACGGCTCTGACCGCCCCCCGCAATGACATGGCTCTGACCGCCCCCCACCACGACGCGGTTCTGACTGCCACCACCTGCCTGGTGTGGGGCAGGCAGTCATGAGCATCATCCAATTAAGCAGCAGATTCAAATGTTCACCAAAATGTACTGTTATACTTCTTTAATTGATTTAACTAATTTCCTTAATGAATTTATATTTTGTTAGTGATGATCTACAATGTTCTAGCTATTATCTTACTGAAATGAATACAAACTAAATTAAAAAATTGTGCCTCTGTTTCTAAGAGCTACTATATCTCCAGAGCTAAGAGAATCATTGTTGGTTCTTTTCTAATCAACTAAAAAAAACCTCCAACAACAATTCAAAACATAGCACTAACTTTGAAATTAATCACTACAAGGGGGAAAAACAACTAAGAAAGTCTTCAGCCAAAACTCAACAAATTACAGAATAACACAAACATCTGGACACATTTACAGTGTAGTACAACTAATCTAAAACAAGCCATGGCAATTGGCAGAAAGCTTAGAAAAAGAAAGCTGGGAGATAAAGTAACATAGATATATATAAAAAACCTTGTCTCACGTTTTAAAAGTTATCAGATACTCAACTAACACACTTTCATGCCTGATTCTAATTCTTAAAATCAGATCACCACCATGCAACTGAAAAATCCATACTAAGAGGCCTTTAAATTATCTTATTCTTGTAATTGATCACTTTATCCTACATTTACTGAATAAATGCAATTTATATAGAAATATAGTTCATTTACTACACATAAATAGTTCAGATGAAGTGGTTTGCAAACAGAAATTTGTAGTTGATACTAAAGGTTTGAAAGACCAGACAAGACCAAACCACACCAAACCAAACTAAACCAAACCAGAAAAACAAAACCATACCCCATACCTCTGCACAAGTAGAGCTGAATAATAACATGGTGTGCATCTTTGAAAAGCATTGAATGTGATAAAAGGGAATCGCATATTGTCAAAGCTGATCGTAATTCGGTTCACTCGTCTTCACAGATTGCAAGGGGACAAGTCCTGCCTGGGTGTCTCAGCAGAGAGCGCATAAACCCTTCCAGATAAGACACAGTCTCGCCTTCCGCCCACCCTCCACCTCAAGATTTTCGTGACTGACACTGATCAAGCACTTCTGATATAGAGATGCCGTTCACAGCTGTCCCTGCATCGTTTCATTTAATCCTTGTGGTTGCCTTGGGTGGGGGGGCCCGGTTATCCCCATACAATGTGGAACGACTTGCCTCAGATCTTCAGCTCATTAGTGGGGAAAGCCACACACAGCCCAGTAAGTCCCAAGGAGGAAAAGAATCTTGGGGGCAAAATCACTCACATACAGAGAAATTTCCTCACAGACCAGGTACTCAGTGGATGGCTGAGCCAGAGGAGGGGCTTCTCAGACCTGTGCCTCCAGACCAGCAGCAGTGGAGGTGAGGGCCCTGGGCCCAGCCTCTCCTAACTCTGCTCAGCTGATACGCTGGCGGAGCATTGGGGTCTCTCTCAGTTCTCTCCTTGAATGAGAAGATGCCTGCGTTGCTGACTTTGCAGGGTTGTTGTGAAGAATAAATCAATATTACAGGTCGCAGTTCTCTGAAAATGGCACGATACTGCCATTAATGTATTTGTGTTCTTCCAGGCCTTTCGAGTTTCAACTTGAGGAAAGTGTGAAGGAGGTGAGAGAGGAGATGCTCAAGGCTAACACCGCCCAGCGTTTCCAAAGCTGCAGGTGCCAGTGTGAGTGTCCGACGTGTGGTCACTCATTTGATCCTCTGAAGGAAGTGGCTGCATGCCTACTTTACAGATGGGAAACGGAGCCCCAGAAGCGATAAACCACCTGCTCAAGATCCTGAGCTGCTACGTAGGAAGGCTGCACTTGAACCAGAAGAATAGGCCCAGAGCCTCTGCTCTTGACCCGTTTGCCAGTCAGCCCCCATCGGCGCAGTTCTGGGCCTGGGTGGCTCACGCGGTGACATCGCGGAGTGGAGGCCATGTAAATACCGGCTCCCCACTTATTAGTTACAGGGCGTGAAATCCTGTCCTGTTACTGAACCAGCTTCCTCAAGAAATGAGAATAACTGTAGCCTCTGGGTGTGGTGGGCAGATTCTAAGACGGCCCCCAAGACTTCCACCTCCTGTCCACACACACTTTCTTCCAGTTAGTCAGCAAACTGCCTGCATTAGAATTCAGACTCTGCTACTTTCTTGCAGTGGTACTTCACAAATGGACTTAACTTGGCTAATTCCCTGTTTTCTCATCGGTACCTACACCTCGTTGGGCCCTGGGGGTGAAGAAGACGAGACTTGCTCTCTGTCCCCTTCCTTTCACAGCGACGCCTGACTCCAAGTCTCGCTCTGCAAACCCACGTCACTGAGCCGCCAAGTCTGAAGTGACTGGCCTGAGGACAGAGGACGGCAGGGTCGCCAAGGCAGATGATCCACTTGACGCCTGCCCTGCTGTGCAGATTCGACCGCCACAGGCGTCCACCACGTGAGCACAAGCCCTGGTGCAAGGCTGAGGGTTCTCTCACTGAGCCCCAAGGACACTGAGAGGACGATAACGGGGCACAGGGGGAGACGAGGGGGAGGCTTGAAAACCAACGCCCCTCCAATTCCTGTAACTACTTCCCATAACACACAGGCTGCCTCGCCATCAGATGGGATTATTATTAATTACTAATAAATAATTCATTTATTATTTTGGCATCCATATTGGGTTTTAATCCACTGTTACTTTTCTAGCTCTGCAAAGCCTTTCAAGGGGAAATGAGGTTATTCTGGCTCATTCACATCCATTTTCTGAAGGGAAACCTGTGCAGTTGAGACTCTGGTGGGAGGCTGCTTCGCACCTGGAAACAAGGTCACTGCACCACGACAGGGCGCCTCAGAGAGCCGCCTCCCGGCCCAAGGGCAGAGGAGACCGGGCCTCCGGGACCCCTCACTGCAGGATTACCAAGGAACTTGCCCTTGCCCCCTGAGAGGAAGTTCACCCAAAGCCACCGCCACCGCCTCACGGACACGCACAGCACTCGCAGGTTAGGGAACTGGGCGCACACGGTTCGAGGAAGAGACGAGATCTGTGCTCCAGTTAAAGTCCTGTGGAAACACAAACCAGACATCACTCCTGGACTCAGGTGTCACCCAGCGACATGCTCAACTCCCCGGGGTTGGGGCAGTCAGGCGTCCAGGGCAGGGCACGCTCTGGGCAGCCAGGAGCCTGTGCAAGTACTTACAGACCCTCTAGGCTCCCAGTTCCAGTTAAATCAGGAAACTCAGTGATTTGTGAGGCACCATTCAAAGTCCTAGAGGGAGGGTATGTGAATATTACTGGGAGAAGATTCTAGAAAGGGGTAATTTTTATTGCCATTTTCAAAGCACTTCAACTTATAATATTCATTGGCTTTTACAGCAACCCCCAAAGGGGAAAGTCTCTGTGAAAGGAAACTTACAGCGTTCTCAGTTCAGGCAAATGCTGAAAAGCAGATCTTCCGACAAGCTGGATGGGGTTGTCGTAGAACTGTCTGAAAAACCCAAACACTGATGTCTGAGTATAAGATGGGAATGACAAGTGAACATCTGCCCAAATTCCAAGGAGCACATCAAACGTATCATGTAATTCTGATTGGACAATATTACATAACATTCCTGATTACTTGGTTTCAGGCAAACCTCAAAGGTGTTTTAACTCACATTATGAGACTTCTGGTAAGAAATCCATACTATATAAAATTGAAAATATGAGATACGAGAGAGAGTTACTAAGGAGAAAAGCAAATGAACTGACTGTGGTTACACTTAAAAACCTTCCTCTGCCTCCAACAACTGTGGAACAGCCATTGAGTTGTAAAAAGGTAGTTCAAGGTGCTGGCAATTGTAGCTCTAATTAAAGAAATGAAGTGCTGTATAATCTACATGAAGGTTCTAGTCTCTGTCTACATGAAGGTTCTAGTCTCTGTCTACGTGAAGGCTCTAGTCTCTGTGTATCTACGTGAAGGCTCTAGTCTCTGTCTACGTGAAGGTTCTAGTCTCTCTGTCTACATGAAGGCTCTAGTCTCTGTCTACGTGAAGGCTCTAGTCTCTGTCTACGTGAAGGCTCTAGTCTCTGTCTACGTGAAGGCTCTAGTCTCTGTGTATCTACGTGAAGGCTCTAGTCTCTGTCTACGTGAAGGTTCTAGTCTCTGTCTACGTGAAGGTTCTAGTCTCTGTCTACGTGAAGGCTCTAGTCTCTGTCTACATGAAGGCTCTAGTCTCTGTCTACATGAAGGCTCTAGTCTCTGTCTACGTGAAGGTTCTAGTCTCTGTCTACGTGAAGGCTCTAGTCTCTGTCTACGTGAAGGCTCTAGTCTCTGTGTATCTACGTGAAGGCTCTAGTCTCTGTCTACGTGAAGGTTCTAGTCTCTGTCTGTCTACATGAAGGTTCTAGTCTCTGTCTACGTGAAGGTTCTAGTCTCTGTCTACATGAAGGCTCTAGTCTCTGTCTACGTGAAGGCTCTAGTCTCTGTCTACGTGAAGGCTCTAGTCTCTGTCTACGTGAAGGCTCTAGTCTCTGTCTACGTGAAGGTTCTAGTCTCTGTCTGTGTACGTGAAGGTTCTAGTCTCTGTCTACGTGAAGGCTCTAGTCTCTGTCTACATGAAGGCTCTAGTCTCTGTCTACGTGAAGGTTCTAGTCTCTGTCTACGTGAAGGCTCTAGTCTCTGTCTACGTGAAGGTTCTAGTCTCTGTCTACGTGAAGGTTCTAGTCTCTGTCTACATGAAGGCTCTAGTCTCTGTCTACATGAAGGTTCTAGTCTCTGTGTATCTACGTGAGCCTTCTAGTCTCTGGTCAAATCTTGTAACATACACAAAGAACTTGTCAAATTATCTAAGAGGAAATAAACTATTATGGTTTTTTGGGAACATTAGAATTTTTTTTGAATAAATTATTGCTCTAAAAGAGGAGATGTAAGAGCTTAGAAATATTTTGTTTTACAGACGTTTTGGAAGTAATGGTATTTGAACCACCTGGTCAATGGGGCTCCCCAAATAGTTCTGAGCTGAGATATCCTCCTAGTTCAATGAAATTCAACAAATACTTATTGGTGGCTCTTATGCTCAGAGTATGAGGGTAGGTACACGGGGATGTGAGACTGACTCATTAAGGGAGCTGTAGCTGGGTGTCTACCACGTGCCTGACATTACAATACAGGCTGGGGTTTGGAGAAGAATGAGAAAATCTCCCTGCCCTAAAGATCCTGGAATCAGTTGGGATATAACAAATAAATAAGAATGTACCAGTTTCTAGTTGACAAAGCATTTTCACATCTGTAGCTCAATTCATCCACCCAACAACTTCATAAGATCCACAGCATGGACACTTAGATGCTATTTTCCTCAGTTTTGGAGGAAGAAACCGAGGCTCTGGTACTTTGGCAAGTGTATTACCTCTCAGGGCTTCAATTTTCTAATTTGTTAAACTGAGGTAATAATACTGAGTTGTAGGGTTTGTGTGCACGTGAAAAGAGCTAATCTAGGTGTAACATCTGGATCTGTGTGGGGGGCACAGCCGTCACTCTGCAGACCTGGTCCCTTCTGTGCTCCTATGCTCTGCCTCTGTTTTTCCTATTGATTAAACAATTGGTAAGAGAAAGAGCTAGGCTGGCATCTAGGTCTTAGATTAAAAAGCAGAGTTTTCCTCGTAGCAAATATGACATTACCGCTTATCTGCGCTGTGCTATGTAGTAACTGTGTTTGTATCTGTGTATGTACATATGTACACTGGGCAGACATGGATGCCCGTGCTTGGGCACAGAAGGCGCAAGCATCAGATCAAATGGGAGCCGTAGGGCTCTCAGGGGAGAGTTCTCTCAGGAGCTCAAGAAAAACTTCATGAAATGTCATTTGAAATGGACCCTGGAAAACAATTTCAACAAGCGTAGTGAGGGGATGGTATCATAGGAGCAGAGGAAATAAAGAGCTTCGTTCTATGAAGGGCTTAGTCGGTCTGAGTCATGGCATAGGGTCATTGAGGGGAGCTTGGGGAACTGGTCAGGAGGGTTGGCCTGGAACGTGGAAGGCTGTGAATGTCGGAGTTTGCATTTAACGTAAATAGACAGCCCCGAGCCTCCATGTGTTCACACCGAGAGACAAGAGGGATGCTTCAGGGCGATGACATGGCTGGTGGAAGAGGCAGGGAGATGAGCTGACTGTAAAATCTAGAGGTAACGGAGAGCAGAGAGGCTGGCGGCAGAGGGGACGCAAAGAAGTGGATGGGATAGGGACTGCAGAGGTGGACAGGAGGTCTGGGCAGCAAGTGGGATGAGGGAGGCATTCACGGAAACCAGGAGTCGGGGCAAGGGTGGGGCAGTGACAAGAGACAGAAACAGACAGGAGAAGGAGAGGAGAATTTCAGGGAGAGGAACAGTGGACACCATCTAACACTGGATAGAAGTGCTCATAAATCTTGGGGGCTGTGAGTCCTCCTCGAGGGGTATTAGCACGTCAAATGAGTGACGAAGAAAACCAGTCCCTCGGCTTCAAGGACCAAGGAGCAGAAGCAATGCCACTTGCCAACTTTTCAGTATGTAAGTACCCTCTAATGAGGACTCATGTTTATTGGAAAAAAACTGTAAAACCCTTCGTTTGCCAACATACTGCCAGAACATTTCAGAAATGATGAATGGCATTCTTTTCAGTTGTCAGTACTAATTGGGACTCCAGCTCATTTGTGACAAATGCTACACGATTCCAGAGGCCTCTCAATCAGGTTGGCACAGGACGGATATCTGTCAAGAAGTGCCCCAGAGTCACCTTCAACAGCTGTCCTTACTCCCCTCTCCATGACCCCTCACCCACGACCTTAAGCCAACACTATGCCCCAACCCCCAGTCGTCTTTTCATTAAGAGCCCACCTAACACTTGCCTCTTTTCGTCATCCTGTATGTATATCTACATGTGATCAGTTTACCGTTCATGTGAGTGTGAAACAGATCAATCACACTTTGTAGTTGCAACTATTTCATGCCACATGGCTCTTAAGTTCTCAGACAGACCTTCCACAACATATGCACCTTCTAGACTTACACCCTAGTTTGCGTAAATGAGACTCGATGCTTGGGCTTGAGGATGAAGGATTTAGAGACACAGCATAAAGCAGAATTCCTCTCCCCTCCCCCTCACCACACCCCCCCATCCAGGCTGTAAAGGACTCTGTTTGCATATAGTTATTCCTTTATTCCTTTATTTTTATTTCAGCTTTATTGAGGTGTAATTTATGTATAAGTTGTAAGATATTTAAAGTGTATGTTGTGGTAATTTGATACCCGTACACATCGTGAAAGGGTCCCCCATCTAGTCAATTAACAAATCCATCACTGCACAGATTTACCTTTTTCTTTTGGTGAGAACATTTAGGGTAATAATTTATATTTCTAGTATACTTGGGTTCAAGTTCTGAATGACTAGGTGACCTGACACTGATGCTCTAAAAATCAGTTTTATTCCTTAGAGAATAGAGACAAACGAAAGAATCTCACGAGATCATTGTGAAGTGAGCCAAGGCGCTGAGCAGATCAGGCACAATGCAGAGGGGAACCTCTCACCCACCGCACTCAGCTAACACCGGCAGGCCACCTCCAGACGCGCGTCTCAATGCAGATTCCCATATGAACTGAGACAGCCCGGGGCCGACACAGGTCATTCACTGACTGCCTTTAAGTGTAGCCCACGCTATGGTGTAGGACAGGAGGGACAGAAAGAACTCAGCCACTTACAATGTAACGAGAGAAGGGTTGCCTACAAACGCTTTCTCGGGGATCAGCCTGATGTTGTTGCTGTGGAACCCTCTAGAAAGAGAGGAAAACAATGTTTAGAGAATAATGTGGAGTAAAGTTATGTGCATTTGACACTCATGTCCTCACTTACTCTCTAGGACAAAAGAATCGCAAGCTGTCATCTTGATGTAGGAATAAAGAATCTGAAAATAACCGTGCTTTATGGAAACTTACAATCTGACGTTATAAAAAGGAAATCCACCTGTTAATTTACAGTAGAGCACCACCGCCTGACATCATGAGACGGGGGCCATGGAGAGAGGATCAAGATGGCTTCTCCTGACCCTGTTTGACGCAGGGAGAAGAGAAAACGAGGTAAGCTGCCGTGGAGTCGAGACTTGAGTAATCCCTTCATGAGGACAAGATTTCTGAGCCGAAGGAAGGTGCCCTGGACCAGGGAGTCTGTAGTAATAACCATCAGAGCCTCATCTGTGGGAGCCAGTGCTGTCTGAAGGGCAGAGGGGCGCGTCTCTGATCTGAGTCCTGTGTGGCCTGAGGCTGGACGAGGTGACTGGCAGTCTTGGGGCTGCCTGACCACAGACAGTGATGACCTTCCGGATGAGCCAACATGGAGGTTCCGGAGGCAGACCCTCGAGGGTCTTTCTTTACAGACGAGCCCTGCAGGCGGCCCCTTCAGCTGCGTGTCTCATTTCTCTCTACCTGCAGAACAGGCTCTATGCTTGTTTTCCTTTCCAAACGTGAGGAGACCCGTTACACAGGTACAAAGAAAGCTAATTAGATTACAGTATATGAAAGACAAAATAGGCAACCTAATAGCTGAGAGTGAGCTTTACTTTGGCAAAACTGTGGACTTTTTTATTAACCAAGATTCATTAAGCATTTAAAGAACAGGAAACAACGTACATGGAAGCACCTCACACACACACGTCCTTCATCCTGTCTCGGACTCGGGCAGCCTGGAAATAACTGAATTCTATTACAGTTCTTACAAATCTATAAAGTATATAAATGTGGGGGGAATACGTCTCAGGAAAAGAGTATGGCTCAGAGAAACATGTATATTTGTTCTAATATTCATATATTAGAGAAATCCATTATAAATTAAAAAAACAGTATCTGATGCTTGCTGGTGATCGAATCAATTAAAACATATTTCAAGTGTACTTAACTATTATTTCTATGAACTTTTAAAATTTCCTAGTAAGTCATATTAAGCACAATAATCAAACATTTTAAAATCAGTTCACAAAGAACAATGTTCTCCCACTAAATTTGCTCTAAATACTTACAGTTCTTTAAGGTTGGAGAGTGTTCTGATTGCAGTGGGGAATTCATCAAGATTATTATAATTTAAATCTCTGAAAATAAGTAAACAGTATTTTCAGTTTTTCATTTACAAATTCCTATGTACAACATTTAAAGGAAAGTTAACATGCTATTCCAAAGGACCAGCATCACTGATGAAAATACTCGTTCCTCCTCTTTAAGAAAAGGGATTTTCTTGGCTTGCTGACCATCATCATTCCACAAACATCTGCATCAAAATGATCATTTGACTGATCAACAGAAATTTCAGGGTCAAGGCTCAATGTCACTGGGGTGTTTAGAAACAGGGAGGGCACACACGGCTAACGCCCCAGGAGGAGGGCGCTGGGCTGGGCTGGGTGGCTCGCTGACGTCACTCTTCACATGAACCTGGCTCACTGAGCTGCCAGCCTGGATGTGCATCCTCAGGGCTCCTGAATCGCATGCCCTTCTTGCTCCCTCCTGCAAGCTCTGACTTTTCCCTGCTTTTCTGAGTCTCGCCTGAGAGGCCAGCGCTGTCCCTGACTCCTGCAGGGTGCCCTTTCTCTCCCAGCCTGAGGTCCGGGACGACCACCAGCTTCTGGGGAGGTCTCCATGGTACATGGCACTCTCAGGAAGGACGTCAGATCCAGAATTTCCTCAGGGTCACAATTAATGGTTCAGATCAGAAGTCTGAGGTTTTCCCTGGTCTGTGAGGCAGGGCTCTAAACTATCCTTCATGTGCGGAGATAGAATGGCCAAACAATGTCAAATCACTAATTTCTCCACTGTTAGGACACAAATGGCTTTTCAATTCCATTGCTCACAAGTGCTTTACAGACTCACTCTGCCTTATATCTATATCTTCGTATGAAAAAGCACTTGCCTCCCTTCTCTGGGCAGATTTCCCAGATGACACAGGAAAGGCTTCGGTCAGGCCATCAGGTGTGGTCAGCTCTCCCTCTGTGGAGAGTAACTACTGTCTAAGTTTAAGCGAGATAGAGTCTGACTGAGTCAGTCCTTACCAGGATTCCCACTTGTGGGGCACAAACCATCCTTAAGCTGTGCTGCAGGCAGGAAACTCCTGTCTCTTGTGGACATAAATTGTCTTCCTATTTGTACATCTCCCCAGACCTCTGTTGTGATTAAACAGGGATGGGGCCCTCACAAATTACTTGGGTTTCTAGGGAAAGGAAGAGGTTGGGAGTAAGCAATTTACTGGCCCTCTGCAGCCCCGGGCAGAGTGGAGAGGAGACAAGGACTCCAGGAATTAGGCTGAAATGTTTAACTCCATGGTATTTACATGCAATCCTGGGTCCTCACCTCAGACTTGGGGAAAAAAGAAAGACTACTTACGGAAACGCCCATTAAAGCCCACCTTATTTCTGCTCCTCTTGGGCTGAAAGTGACTGCAAGGTGTTTTCCATGCTAAGACTCCCACCCAGCCCCGTGCAGGAAGGGAGTTCTAACTCTTCCCAGCAGCTGATGGGGACTGCCTGTGTGCGCCAGTGGAGTGGCATCAAAGTCCTGTCTGGACGGGTTTGTCTTTGGCATCCGCTTATGACGATGAGTGCTCCCCTCTAAGAGGAACACAGTGACTGAAAGAACTCTGGAAGGAGAGCTGTCAGTGTCATCGGCCTGGAGAAGACCGTCAAGAACACATGGTCCCTCAGCAAATCAGTGACCTAGACCTGGTCAGAAGCTAAACTGGCTGCGTACAAACTGCTGAGCTCTATGCGAAGGAACAGTGGGCTCCCACGGAACAGGGAGCCCTGGTCATCGGCTTCTGCTGTCGGGGGCAGAGGCTGCACTGCAGATCCAGTGGCCCTGTGGGTTTATCACACTTGAGTATTAAAAACCCGCAAGAACTGTCCTCACGGCGGCTCTGGCACAGGCTCCAGGCGGTCAGGCAGGACTCTATTTTATCACAGGTACCAGCTCAGAAGTGAACTCAGACCTATTGTTTGGAAGTGGTGTACAGAGGTGAACACGGATTTCAGAGTCAAACTAGAGAAAGAAGCGAATCTCAGCTACGCTACTGAGCAGGCAGGTCCTGTTGGTGAAGTAGCCCCACCAGAGCCTAAGCTGGATGGCAGCGGCTGCTCTCACAGGATGATCTGAAACAACGTGTGCCAAACACCAGCGCAATATATGGTCACAGATGCCCTCAACAAATGGCATGAACCCTCACTGTCTGCTAAGGAGACACCTGTTCCTCTCAGACTGGAGAGTCCAGCACCGCTTGGTCTGCGTCCCCTCATCCAGATGGAGGAGCAGAGGCACAAGCAGCACCTGAGGACGAGCCAGAACTGACCTCTGCGGAGTCACGCCCTCAGCACACAGTCGCCACTCAGCAGAGCATCTTGTTTAGCTCATCACAGTTCCAACCAACCGATCACTCTGTTATATCAGAGCAAACCTCAGGCTTGTGTTCAGCTGCATGTGTGTGCATGCATGTGTGTGTGTGTGTGTGTGTGAGATAAAGCCCCGTGAGCATCTGCCTAAGCTCAGGCAATTAACCAAACCAGACAGCAAGTTTGACTCTGAGGCCACGTTGATTCCTCAGAACACTCACAAAAACACTGATAAAAGGGGAACAAATGAAAGGTCACTCACAGCGTCTCCAGGCTGTGGAGCCCTTCAAAGCACTTCTTTCCCAGGGAGTGGATTCTATTGTTATGGAGATGCCTGAAAGGAACGGAAAGACGGGAAGGAGCTTAGGCACAGGTTTTGATGGCTTAAATGGAAGGAAACCTGCACTAAGGAAGGTGTTAGTTATATACAAGAAATGGTTGTTTACAGTTTTTTGAAGGCTAACATGCACAGACGACTCTGTTCCACAGAACTGAGCAGCAGCCCCAGTTTCACCTGCTGGGTGTGCGATATTGGGGAGTGCGCAGTGACAGAGCAGCACTGCTGGCTGAGCGCACCTCAGAGGCAGGATGTGCAGGAGAGAGCCCGACCCCCACTGACAAAGGGAGGCTCGGAGGGCCCCAGCTGCGCTAGGCACACTTCCCACCAAAGCTGACAGCTTATCCCGGTTGCCTTCCCAGGTTAACAGGACAAGGCAACTGAGCCACAGGGAACGTGGTCAGATGGCTGTCCAAGGAGATCAGCGACCTCGACACAGCATTAATGTGCATAATTATCCCCTTGGCTCCCTGGTCCGTCAGTGAGGTCAGGGCCCTGAGAACAGCTGTGCTCATGACTGAAAACCAGACCAAGTCCCAAAGAGAATTCTGGAAAATGGGCTTATGGAGGACAGGGTGAAAAAGCTGGATCTCTGCAAACTCATCCCTTCTCGTGGAGGAAAAAGTTAAAGCACTTCCCAGCTCCTGGTGGGCCAGTAGCATCATCTTTGTGAGATTCAGTACGGAAATTTGTTAATATCACCCCAGATTTCTGATCCTTTCAGACTAAGGTTTTTATTCTAACAAATACACACTGGTTTCACGGGAGACCTACGTGATGTTTACTGAGGATCTTCTACATGTAACACTGGGGGAAGGGGATTGAGGGGACCTAATAAGAGGGAAGACGCCGGACAGCCCTCAAAGGAGAGCAGACCACGTGCCAGAGACCTCGAGGCCAGGACAGCGACCGCGCGGCGCATGGCCCTCAGGCGGCAGCTGTGCTCCGACCTGCACTGTACACGCGGGGCACGTCCCTGACTCTTAAAGAAGACTGATGACCTTCCAAACTATCGCTTGAGAATCATTTTGGTTTACGTAAAATAGTGGAATCTAGACCTCTGGGGAAAAGCCACACAAACGCACAGCTCGCGGCCAAAGGGTCGTGCTCGCGCCCCTTCCGTGGCGGCGGTCCCAGGGGTCCCAGAGCTCCTGTTCCGATGACAAGGGCATATTTCAGCTATAAGGTATTATCGGGAACCGGAGTTCCGCCGCCCCGGCCACTGGCTGACTGCGCACGCTCCCCGAGGCGGAGCCGCAGGCCACCCGGACTCCGCGGGGCTCCAAAAATGTTCCTTCTTGTACACAACTGGAACATTTATGAGTCATTTTGGGGAGGGATTTGGGGGTTTTCTTCCCTTAAAAGGTCCCTATCAAGGTCTGAAGGGCCGCAACTTTAAGGCCAAGCCTGCAGCGAGTTTAGAAGCTAAGAGCAAAGCCGAGGACTTACAGAACCACCAGGCTGGAGAGCTCCGCGAAGGCGCCGTCCGGGACGTGGCGGATGCTGTTCAGGGCCAGGGTCAAGGCCTGCAGCGCCGGGAGGCTCCGGAAGGCGCGGACGGGCACCTCGGTCAGCGCGTTGTCGTCCAGCCACAGGTGCCGCAGGGCGCGCAGGCCGCCGAAGCAGCCGGGGGGCACGCGGCCGATGCGGTTGGCGTCCAGCCGCCTGCGGAGGAGGCGACAGTGGGCGAGGCGGCCCCACGGGGGCCCGCGCGACCCCGGGAAGCAGGAGGGGGCGGCCTCCTCCCTGGCCTGTCTGCTGGGGTGCGGCCGGTCCGCGTGGGGCTCCCTCCCGGACGCGCAGGTGCCGCCCCAGGCCGGGCCTCAGCGCGGGATCTGCCGGCCTCCCTTCCGACCCGACCCGGAGAAAGACACCCTCTCCCCACACCCCTGCATCCCAAGCCACACGCGCCTTGCTTCCCCGACTGCTCTGAACTCTGAACACGCCGCACGTGCGGATCCCCCGGTTTGCTCCTTAAGCCCCGGGAGGAGGTTATTTCAGTGTTTGAATGGGACTGAGTACTTTTCAAAGCGGGAAGATGGCCTCAGGGAGGGGGCGGCCCCTCCCTTTCTATGTGCTGTGCTGAGAGGCCTGGAGACTCCTGCTTTCTTGTCATCCTAACCATTTGCATTGGGCAGGTGTTTTTCCTGACATTTTAAACAAATAATAAAATTGACAGCTTTCCCAGCTTTGGCTTCCGTTTTCCTCACACCATTTTGTAAATGGGGAAATACATCTAAACACAGATCTGGTCAACGAGCCGCTGCAGCCTCAGAGCCAGCACAAGGGGTGCCACGCTTCTACTTCACACCAACCGCACACCCACAGAGGCCGGAATGACCAACTGAGAGCAGCAGACTGAACTTTTCTACGAGGCGCATGAACGGCAGGACCACCACCGCCCTCACGCATTCTTCCAATCTGTTCTGAAGGCTCACACACTTGTCTGCATTTTCAAAGCCAGGATTTAAAGAAAGAAAAAAGAGTGCATTTTAAGCTCTCCATGTATTAGGAGGGTTAGGAAATCACGAGCGGATTTTGAAAAATGTTTTAGGAAGCATTTAAGACTCAACAGATGCAGGAACCACACCAGGATCATGAAATAATCCTCTGCAAACCAAACTGAAACAATTCAGCAACGGAGAGCTAATCTCTGTGGAGAGCGGCTCCCTCACGTCTGGTCACAGATGTCACTCCCTCGTCCGTCCCTCGGTTCCTGCTTCTACTGACCGGATAGCACAGTGATGCCCTCCAGGCCCCGGGCCAAGTTTCGGTAAGAACTGAGATGACCAGTATCAGGAGTTCCGCGTCACAGTCCACTCACAATTAAACTTCCAGAACAACCATCTCCGTGAGCCGCAGAAACACAGCTTCCAAACGTCTCAAGGTTCTGCCAGCAAGTGGAGCTGGAAGTGTGTAGGAAATCCAGCCCGCTCGTCTCCTCTGCTCCAGCAGCAACGCTCCAGTAAGGCGCGTCTCCTTGGGGAGGAGGGGCGACGGCTTGTCTGACGAGAGGTAAAGCGCACCTGTGCGCTCTCCTTGACGATGCACCGACTGAAGAATGGAGACCTGACGCAACCTCCGCATCTCAGCTGGTGCTGTCTGATGACGCATGGAGACCACAAGGGGCCCAGGGCTCCTGAGAACGGCCAGGCGCACGGCCGGGCGACTGCCACGTGCACGCAGAGGGGGCGCGTCCGCACGAGTCGCGGGCTCCGCCTCCATGTTTCAGCGACGAAAGTTTCTGCTGAGTCTTGAAGCGACTCTAGTCTCGGTTTTCATTGTTTATTCATCTCTGGATACAAGTCTTTTATGAATCACTGCTTTTCCCCCCAGAAAAAAAGTTGTACTGTAATCTTAGAGCAATTTGCTGTCTGAGATGAAATGAGTAAGACGAGTAACTTTTCACAGTCCTAACGCTCCAAATGCTAATACTCGCAGACCCCACATGTGGGTATCCTGTGTGCAGCACTAAAATGTTTCACTTCCTCGGCAGTTTCTTCAGATAAGAAGCTCCCAATAAATGAGACTCCTTCTAAATGCAGTTTCGAAGTCCACGTCCACCTGGCCTCAATGGGCCAAACCTAATTTTAGCATGGTGTATTGTTCACGCTGAGGCGGGATCTGACCTAATCTTGACAGAAGGTCCCAAGGCTAAACCGGAGTTTGGAATTAATCCCCCAGCACTCATACAGGTGGTTCTCAGAACAAGGTTAAGACTGTGGACAAAGCAGCTGGCAGAGCACGAATTGCACCTATTCAGTGAGTAAACAGAGTCATATCATGTCAACCTGGTCTTTTTGGACAGCTGGACACTTTCTATTCATGCTCGGAAAATGCAATATTTACACAGTGGAGTGTAAGAAAAACATCACTACACAGTACACAAAAACACATAAAAATATGGTTCCATAATACAAGGAACAGCAAAAATATCTACACTACACAGCTGCCCTTTTTAAGTGTTTCTTGTTATCACTTGTATCTCATGCAAGTCACAAAGGGTGTGTGCAGGAGCTCAGAATGTGTGAATTAGTGCAGAGACGGGGACGAGAAATCTCGGGTTCAAGTCAGCACTGGTGCTGTGTGACCTCTGCTTTCACGAGGGTAACACCTGTCTTATAGGGTCGCTCTGTGATTAAAGGAAATAATACAATGGGGCTTCGTAAACTATAAAGCACCTTCATGATTTTAAATTATTATTACTTGAAGCTGGTTAACAGTTTGTCTTGTCTTTTGACCATCGAAACCATTCAGAGAAAAAGAAGTAAACTCCAATTTTGCCTTAGTCAAAAGTTGGTAAAATGAGTCCTGGGTTGTTAGTGAATTTCAGTCCTGAGAAATGCAGACGACTTCTTTCATCCCTCGTGGAAATAACCGAGGTGTCTGCAACTGCACTTAATAGAAGTTGCCCCTATCTGTCAGTCTTCAGTGTCATCGCTATGTGTGTGAATCTCAACATCACAAAGGGCAAACAGTTTTGTTCCTGGTGCCTTACTGAGTATGACATCTTCATTCTTCAGGCGCAGAAGCGATGACGTGTCATCGACACCACATTCCAGAGGAAGTTCCTAGCAACAATCTTGGCATGTAAGTGTCCACCGAGAATGTGACAGCGCAGCACAAACCTGCATGCAGTCAGATGCCCCAAAACAAAACACGAACAACGGCAGCAGCCCCACCTGCCTTCAGACAAATAAAACCTCTTAATCACAATCTCGAAATACATTCTGAAAAGTAGTCACTATATGGGAAATGGCACCCATTTCGTCTTCCTAATGTTACTAATAACTTAGAGCAAAATGAAAGAGAAAATAAACTTTCACCCCACTTCTCGTGTCACGTACAATCACCTACATAGTGGGCATATGGTGAATCAGGAGAATTCAGACGCAAGTTAAGTCGAGACCCAGTCAGTTACTAATTCTGAGATTTGGGGGCAGATTGATTACTTTCTGGGAGGGTCAATTTTCCTGTGTGTGGAGCAGAATCTCAACAGGTCACAGGATGCTGTGGGCATTAAAAGAGAAGGCGAATGTGGGGAGTGTGCTGTAAGCAGTAAAGCATTCTACAAACGACAGGCTTCATTGTCTGAGGAAAATCTTCATATTCAGGGGGTGGTATCATTCGCCCCGCTCCCATGCCCTGCCCTGAAAGTTTCTTTTGTTTTTTCTGAGGATGCTTCACCTTTGTAGTTTTGGATCTCTCAAGAGGAGATGGTCTTTTTCTGTCACTTGGGCTGGCAGGGCCACTGACCTTCTCCTGAATGTCCATCCTTAGCGCGCATGTTCAGTGGCTACGCTTCGTGTTTCTGTTACTTTTGCAGGATGGCTTCCGTCACACATCTTCCATGCGGGGCCAGCAAAGGTCCACAAGGCCAGCAGGCTGAGGGGAAGTACGGTGTCGTCTGGCACAGGAACGTAATGTGCACTGAGTGAGTCTCTGCAATGTCAGCTGGAGGACGACACCCGACGAGAAGTGGTTTGTCATGACTTTTGGGTGTGTGTTGACGCAACTCCTTCTCTGGAAGGAGGACGTGAGGCTGGAGGATTCCACAACTGCCAGAGGGACCCCGCTGCACGGCCTGCTTGGCAAGGGGACCGTCTCTCCTCACTCCCAGGACCCGGTCAGGCCATCTAGTTCACTGACAGGCTGCGCTGACTCTGAGCATCCAAGGTGAGCATTTGGAGACTGGAGAACGGGGCCCCCAGGAGGTTTCTGGGTTACCTCACTATGGGAAATGTCCACCCTCTCCCAAGCAATCTTCAAGATCTGCATAAAAGTGTTTCTCTGGGGCAGGGTTGTCCTACTGCCTCCTGACTTTTTGTTGTTAGTGCTGTGGAGTGGATCCTGACTCCTGGTGACCCTGTGGACAGCAAAGGCAACCCTGCCCGGTCTGTCGGCGCCATCGTCTCCCCTTCCAGCGCTGCATCAGACGATGCTCTGCTGATATTCACAGGGTTTTCACAGCCAGTTTTTTTGGAAGTGGGTGGCCAGGTTCTTCTTCCTAGTCTGTCTAGTCTGGAAGCTCCACTGACACTCATCCTCCATGGGTGACCCTGCTGGTGTTTGAAATCCTGGCAGCACGGCTCTCAGTATTACAGCCACATGCAGTTGCCAGAGGATGACAACCAACAGACTGGTGGTGTGGTTCCCTGACCAGGACACGGACCTGGGCTGGATCTTAAACACGACAGCACCAGCCTCCTGGCTGGACCCCCTAATAGCAGACATGTTATCGAAAGGGCACTCTGATAGCAGCGTGCGAGAGGGACTCATGGGAAGTGAGTGACCACGGCAGCTGTAGTTGGCAGGGCAAGAAGAAATGAGTGCCTGAAGAAGTATGGAAGTGGAGAGGAAGGCCTGACCTCAGGGACGTTGCATAAGTGAGGCTGACAGAACGTAGTGACTGGCCAGATGTGGCCAGAGGGGGTGGCAGGGACGCTGTGGGGACCTAACGTTCCATCCTGGGCAACTGGGAGGATGGAGACCACAGACCAGCGGGAATGAAGGCTGCCCAGTGTTGTGCAAACTGAGAATAAAGCAGAACTACCTGCTCACGGGAGGGCAGTTCTGTAATGCCAAGGACCCTGTGTGGTGAGCAGCAGCCGAAGGGTGACAGCCCCAAATCAATCTTTTATGTTGGGCAAAAAAAGAGCTCATTT